TTATGGCCAGCTTTGGTGATGGGTTTTGGAATGCACAACCTTTTGACTACCTTTTTGGTTAAAGCAGTTAGGTTAACCCGATCACCCCATCTCTTTTTATATGCGTGGTCTTGGTAGGAAGTGGCCTAGTAATAGGCTTGTAATTATGTATCTTCCCAAGGTTAACCAAATGTTTATAATATGGCTTGGTTGTTTCCTATCTTAAATCGTTTTTCCTTGTTATCCCGTTTTGATGATTGTTGATTGGGAGATTTGTGTTCGTTTCCGCATGCATTTAATCGTAAGTTAATTAAATGGGTCGGCGACGCGTCCTGGGACGTCGCAACTAAATGATCAAAGAAGGATGTTGGCGCGCTCGTGGGTTCGGGGCGTGACACTCCTAATGCCCCAACGGGTGATTTTTCTCTACAAACGCCATTTGAGCTCTAGAAAAGCTCGAGCTTCACTAGAAGAACAAATTTCGTTATCATATCTACCAAGTTCTCTGTTGTTGCAATTTTCTTTACGACAACTTTTCCCTTTGCTATGCTATCTTGGATAAAATGGTACATGATATCAATAGGCTTGGTTCTCTCATGATAAATTTGATTACAGGCCAGATATATTGCACATTGGTTGTCACAGTGAATTGTAACGCTTTTCTGGTCCAACTCAAGATCTAAGAGCAAACCCTCCAATCATACTGCCTCCTTCGTCACAAAAGTCAGTGCTATGTACTCTGCTTCACTTGAAAACAAGGCAATATCATCTTGTAAGGACACATTTCAACTCACTACACCACTTGCTAGTGAAAACACATACCCTGCTAATGATCTGCGGCCATCTAAGTTACTAGCGTGATCTGAATCCATATAACCAAACTCGTGGTCTCCCCACCATTACCATCCCTTCAGTACACTATACTTACGTCTACTATCCCATTTAAATATTTGAGCTTCCACTTCACAAATTCCCAATGAGACTTGTTTGGGCACTTGTAATAGCTAACAACGCTCAAAACTTGCGAAATGTTAGCCCTAGTATATACTATAACATACGTAATACTACCCATTGCACTAGAATAATGAACACATGATATATGCTCCTTATTTTCCTCAGTCTATCATGATAATTTATCAGAAAATTTAAAGTGTGAGGTTAAATGTGTACTTATAGATTTCGCCGACTGCAAATTAAAAAGTGCCTCGATCTTATCTATATATTTCTTTTGAGATAGACGTAAAACTTTTGTAGCACTATCACGCAAAATCTCCATACCCTTTATTTAGCAGCACCTAAATCTTTCATTTCAAATGCAAACATATACTTAGCTGTTATCATCATGTCATCAACATATAATAACAAACAAATCAAGATCAATCCTCCAATCTCCTAATATAAACACAGCTATCAAACTGACTTTTTGAATAATCTTGACTAGTCATAAAAGTATCAAGACACTTATACTACTACTTAGATGATTGTTTTTGGCCATATAAAGATTTTTTTTTATTGAGCAAATATGGTCTTCCTTACTTAAAATAGCAAATCCTTCTAGCTATCTCATGTAAATATGCTCCTCCAACTCACCATGAAGAGACATTGTTTTCACATCTAACTGCTTCAGCTCAAGATCTTGTGCAGCAACTAAAGCAAGTAATACACGGATAAGTATGTATTACTATAAGAGATAACACCTCGTTTCAGTTGATGTCCTCCCGCTGGATATACCTCTTCGCAACAAGTCTCGCCTTGCACCACGTTGCCTCGATACTGGGAATGCCTCCTGTTTGTAAGCCCATTTTGCACCCAACAATCTTCTAGGTTTGGATACTTTGACTAGCTCTCATGTCTGATTCCAATGGTGTGACTCTATCCATTCACTAATAATCTCTAGCTGTTGCTACGACTTAACACTAGCCATTGCTACAAAATAAGACGAAGGCTCATCTATCTCCACTTCATCATTTATAATCAATACATAAGCAATATCAACAGAAACGAAATTCCCATTAATACTTAATTTGAACATTCCGTTACAAGCGTACCCTTTCCCAACAAATATTTCATACTTAGACAGAATAAGCTTATCAACCTCTAACACACCCTTGATTCCATTCTTGCACAACAAATTTGCTGATACGAGATTCTTACGAATATCAGGAACATACAGCATATTGATCAAAGTCAATTTCTTTCCAAAAGTGAATTGCAATTCAACTATGCATGTTCCTAGAACAATTGCAGTATTGTTCCCATCAACACTTGTTGCTCCTTCTCCTACACAAATGTATAAGATTTGAATTGCTTCTTATCATTGTAGACATACACGGTTGCACTAAAATCAAACCACCAATCATTTAAATCATTCATAGTTGCCATGTTCAATTCAATCACCATCCCTATTTGCAATTCAGAGAACATAGCAACTAATCCATTGGTGTTTTATTCCACAATATTTACTGTCGTGTCAATCTTTTGCTTTTTCCTGTAGCAACACTCCTTCTTGTAGTAGCATTTTTTACCACAATAAAAGAAAGACTTATCCTTCTTGAATGTGTTGTTGCTAGGTTTGTTGGAGTTGGGGCTCGATTTGTTTGAGGGCTATGACATCCTTCGGCTAGTTTGAAATTGGTCGCCGGCGTCAGGGCTGGCCATGACAAGAGTTGAGGAATGGTGCTCAGCTCGGGCAAGGAGGTGTCGCGGTAGAGCGGTCGGGGGCGGCTGAATCGGGTTAGGTTTGGCGGCTGCTAAGCAAGAGGAATGGGCTGGCTAAGTGTTAGGTTTTCTTAGGAAGTTCTGGGCCGGGCTGGTGTTGAATTGGCTTAGGTTTTTTCTTCTTTTTTCTAGAATTTCTGGGCCGGGCTCGAGGCACGATTTTAACGGGCAACACATTTGTAAATGGATTTGAGTTACAGAATGCGCGCCCCATTAGCCAGCCAGTTGTTTTCTTCTGTCCGTGGAATTAGAAAGGCAAAAATGAAAAGAAAAAGACAAGCGAAAAGTAAGAGTTGTCGTGTCATGGCTTGGACATGGATAGAGGGGGTGATGGTGATGGTGATGGTGATGGTCCGCCACCACTCCTCGTCCGTACGTTTCCATGCCACTCGACCTCAGCCTCAACTTGACGATAACATCAGCTTCTGGTCCACTGTCACTTGTCATGTCTACGACTCTGTTCTATACATAACCAGACTTTCAATTCCTTCTCTGAGTGAGAGAGAGAGAGAGAGAGAGAGAGTGAGAAGCTTCAATGGCATTGATAGGTTTCTTGGAGATATTCTTGGCCGGGGTTTGCTTCGTGGTCCTTCGTCTCCTCGGCAAAAGCGACGATGGGCTCCCCAAGAACTGGCCGCTCGTGGGGATGCTACCGGCGCTCTTCCTCAACCTGAGCCGCGTCCACGACTGGGCCACCGGCATTCTGGAGCGGAGCCGCTGCAACTTCCTCTTCCGGTTCCTCTGGTTTTCCGGCATGGACATGCTGGTCACCGCCGATCCCGCCAACGTCCACTACATCATGAGCACCAACTTCGGGAACTTCCCAAAAGGGCCCGAGTTCAAGAGGGTGTTCGACGTTTTGGGTGACGGGATCTTCAACTCCGACTCCGATCTGTGGAGAACGCAGAGAAGGGTCGCTCAGGTGTTAATGAACGACCCTCGGTTCCACCGGTTCTTGGCGACGACGACAAGGGACAAGGTGGAGAATGGCCTGCTCAAGGTGTTCGGCGAACTGTCTCAGAGAGGTGTTACGGTGGATTTGCAGAATTTGTTCCAGAGGTTCACCTTTGATTCTGCTTGCAGATTCGTCACTGGGTTCGACCCCGGCAGCTTATCCGTCGAATTCCCCGAAGTCCCGTTTTCCAAGGCATTGGATGATGCCGAGGAGGTGATTTTCTATCGCCACTTGTACCCCGCGTGGTTCGGTACTCTGCAGAGGTTGTTGGGGATTGGAGTGGAGGAGAAACTGAGAAGAGCTTGGGAAGATATGGACCAAATTGTAGGGAATTACATAGAGATGAAGAGAGTTGAACTGAGAGAAGGAACCAGTAAAGTGAAGGGAGATGAAACTGGTGCAGATTTATTGACATCATATATGGTGGAAAATGAGACATTGGGTGCTTTAGAATGCAATGACAAGTTCCTCAGGGACACGATTTTGAATTTCATGATTGCCGGGAAAGATACCACTAGTTCGGCTCTCACGTGGTTTTTCTGGGCTCTTTCCACGAACCCGTCTGTTGAAATGAAAATCAGAGAGGAAATCAGATCTATAATCCCGGAAGAAGAACAAAATCATAGGGTTTTCAAGATTGGTGAGCATATGCACAAGATGGTTTATTTACATGGCGCGCTGTGCGAATCTTTGAGGTTGTACCCGTCGGTTCCATTCCAGCACAAGTGTCCTGTAAAGCCTGACGTCCTTCCTAGCGGGCACAAAGTCGATCCCAGCACGAAAATACTCTTCCATATGTATGCAATGGGGAGGATGAAATCAGTATGGGGAGAGGATTGCTTGGAATTTAGACCGGAGAGGTGGATTTCGGAGAGAGGGGGAATTAGGCACGAGCCGTCATACAAGTTCTTGGCATTTAATGCCGGACCGAGAACTTGTCTGGGAAAAGAAGTGGCTTTCACTCAGATGAAAACAGTTGCAGCCGCTGTAATTCATAACTACGAAGTTCATGTTGTGGAAGGTCACCCTGTGAGACCTTCTAATTCTATCATACTTCACATGAAACATGGATTGAGGGTGAAGCTTGCTAGGCGAAGGCTTTCAGTGGACAAATGACCGGGAACATTACCTACAAACTGTAAATCTATGTACACCGAACATATGCGTGTATGTCTTCTGCTTGTTTTTATATTTCCTATCGTATACTGTTATTTGCAATACAACAAAAGTTACAGCTTTACCAAGTCATGCAGCATACATGACCCCCTTCTTTCTTTGCTGGAGAAATTTGTGATCAAAATCAATCACCATAGAGATGAAAAATGGAACTGTAATATATTGTATATGCTTGTATATGCTTGTGGCACACTTTGATGTCTCCTCGCAAAGTTTATAACAGGATCAGTCAAAAATAAGCTCTCAAAAAGATAATTGTGCACCCAAACATGAGCAAAAGAGTTTCCTTTTCAGAGAGCTTTCTTGCGCATTGTGGTAATATCAAGTGCATTTCGCATATATGTCTCAATTCATCTCCTTCTGAGAATATCTAGGGTACCCACCACCTTCTCTTCAGTCAAATCTTTCGATTCACTTTATCAAAAGCACCATATCAGAGAGATCCCAGAACTTACCCAATCAGTATTTAAATGCATTACTGTTGCAAAAATCAATGTATCTGATCTGGACACCCAGATTTTACTCCACGAGAATAGGGGCCATGTGTTGGTGAGGCCGTGTAATGAGATATATAATCAAGTAGAGCTTGTTCCAATGATTTCTCACATTGTACTAACACAGCTTCCTCAGCAACAATCCAGTCCCCACTTCTGAACTCTGCGTTTTGCGAGTCATAACAGCTCTGAGGAATGCAAGGAGCAACAATTACACACACACATTATATATGAGCTTAATGAGTATAAAAAAACTTGCAAAAGTGATTATGCTCGTAAGACTTAGTTATATATCTTTAGTGGAGCAGTTTGGAACCAAAAATCGAAATGAGAAGGGCCAAACCTTTTCCAAATGAAGACTTGAAAGTAGGTGTTTCCTAAGAGCAGCTAGCCTTATAATAAGGATAGTGAAAGCGAACAAAACATGGGGTGTCAAAAGGTAATGAAACTTTTGGGTTTCACTAGAAAAATCCAAAATCAAAAGAAATCCACAAATCTCATCCAACCAAAATAGCGAATCTAGAAAAGAGGTTCTTTCTTTTATAAGGAAAACCATGAATCCCCCAAGTCTCTTTTTTTCATAGACCAGATTGTAGAAAAGAGTGTAAATCCGACATCTATCACTAAGAGTTCGTCACCGCTCTAAGTCATTGTGCTTACAAAACAACATCCAGAAAAACAGCATCCATGCACAACGTTTTGAGGAGGTTGTTTGTACCTCGGAACAAGTATATATAATTGCTGTCATCCAGTTCCAATTCTCCAGTGCATCTTTCTGAGAATCATCAGCAGCTTCATGCAGAAAATAAAACAACGGCGGCATAAGCTGCATCTCAAGTTGTCTTGGACCACCACAGAGCTTGCATCTCCCAGGATCTCCTATCTCTTTACTAGCCAACAGTGGCTTCCCTCCATTTGAATATCTAAACATTCAGTCACGGCAAGGGTATGGCATATCATTTACTTGGACTTTAGATGGATAAGGGTACAATCTTTCCACAAATTTTGAATTCCAAATATACAACAATTATATTGACTGAATTTATGTTTCTGTGCTTACTCCAGAATGTTAGATCTTCCTTTCTCCAAGAAACATCAACTTCCAAAGACGCGGAAAAAAAAATTCCTCTAGATGAAAAACTCGAGTGGTGTTTGGGCTATATATACAGGCCTATTTCTGCTATCAATCAACATGAATTAGATTTATGTCAACTAAAATAAAAAACTAAAACTTTTGTTTAGCAAGATTTCACTGTATCTATTCTACAGAGTCTTCATATTGAAGATGAATTACGCCTTTCGAGGTAAATTGTTCATCATCATACTAGAATTATAAAGCATAAATTCACGAGATTGATTCATAATCTGCCACCTAAGCCAAATCTTCCAAAACAATAACACTGTAAAAAAGATGAGGTGTAATTGGTCTGTAAAATCCAAAGATCCAAGAAGCTCCAAGAGTCCTCATTTTTGGCTAACTTTATATAACACATAGATCGTCAAAAACCCAATCCTATTTATCATAATTTATATGCAACTACAGTTGTTTCTGGCAAGACCAAAACAACAAATTGAATTTTACTTGTTTTAGCCATGTCTCACTTAGTAGAGATGAGCACCTGAAACACTGTTCCGGATTAGCATCCAACCGTTTCTTAAACTTTAAGTAAGTCCGGTCAGCCATTACAGCTCTATCATACTCGTAGTGTTCCTCATCCAATACTTCTTCCTGTACATGATTGTCGACATTGATGGAAAGAGACGAACAGTTCAAACAAACAGATGTGACATCCTTCGAATAAGGCTCTTCCAAGGTATAAATATAAAAGCAAGGCATCACTGCAATCAGCAGATAGGTTATTTCAATTAAGCCATCAGGTGGATAACAATAGCAGCAAAGCCGGTACCATTATAGACTACTTTCATGCGAAATCTGTACCAGGTATAGAATCATCTGCTTGTCTTGATATTGACCTTGAAGGTGACCATTTCGCTACTTTCTCAGAATTCTCATGCCTATTTGGTTTCTTCGAGTTGGAAGTAACAGTTGCAGCTTCTGCAAGTGCCCTTCCTAGGTCCTCTAAATCCACGTCTTCATCATTCTCATCCAAATCATTCCACCAGTCATGTTCCCCGGCTGAAACAGAGCCTGAGGCAGCCATTACCGCATCGCAACAAGTGGAGTTTGATTGTTCGTCTTCACAAGATCTCTGAATACGAATTGCTCGCCAGCTACAAGTCATTTTGCTTAGCGTTGAGAACCACTCAGAGTTTTTTCTTAAAACCAATACTCAAGCAAAGAAATTGCCAGAAATTTAGAGGAGACCTCAAGGGACTGCTCCCACATTTCGGAGCTATGCAACCGAAGATGTAAAGCACACGGTCTTCGACTATCAACTTTCCACTGGTTATAGGAGCAGGAACCTACAAGCACACATGATCTCTCGCTCACAACACACTTCCTCAGCATAATTGTCCTTATAGATGACAGATAAAAATGAAACCTGTCCGACGAGACAAAGTTTATTTCCACATATGCTGCACTTGAGATAATCTAATCCCCAGGCCATCAATGGAGAAGGCCAGTCCTGTGACAGACAAAAAGAATCATACACTTCAAACAGAACATCATGTGACAAACAACAAAATCGTACGAGAAAATCAGAAGTTACTAACAGGTAATCCACCGATTTTCGCCGTATAATGGTCAGATGCTTCGCGATTGTCATCGGCCCATGGTCCTGGCAAGCCAAGAAAGACTCTGCCCATCGCTCACTACAGCACCAAAAAACAGAAAACATACAACTCCCCGGAAAAACACATTCCACAAGCTGCACTGTAGTAGTACAAGGTGATGCATATCAACTTTTCAATATCTCCCATAGAAACAAAATTTGAGAGCCAGGACAATCCAAGAACCAAGTTTTTTTTCTGTGCCACCACAAGACTCTGTCAAGAACAGCCTAACTACACAAGTAACACGCTCAAAATATCAAATATCCTATCACAGAAGAATTCATCAAAAGGGAACATCAAAAAGGAAGAAAGGAAGAATTTTCTTGGTGGGTTCAGAAGAAGCGGGGCAGAACTGTACAGGCACACCCCGCACAAAATCAATGACTTCTTCGGTTGAACAGGAAGAGGGCACACAGCATGAAGACGATTCAAGAAAGCCATGAACCGAGAAGAATCAGATGGATACCTGCTGGGAAGATTGTGGGTGCGCAGCTCTTCGATGTACAAAGCAAGTTGCTTTCTGCTTTCGCTGGGTCTGTCTAGCCCGCGCTGGAAGTATTCCAGCAGCAGAGCAAGACGGTGAAGAGATTTTGATGAGTGTTCTCTCGGAGGAACCCTTCGAAGTGATAAAAAAGAACAATATTTTTTCGGTATACATTAGGTGTGAAATTTCTTTTTGTTCTGACTAAAGATGAAAAAGAAGAATTATATTTTTCAATAGATCTCGCACGATGTTGACCATTTGACCCCTTATTAACTGGAATGAGAATCTTACTAATGACAATGGGCGACACATTAATATACATTTATTTACATGACATGTTATTAATTGAAGCGAGAATTTACTTATTATAATTATCGGGATTTACAATTGCGCGTGAAAATTTACCGAGCACGAAGTATGTAGTAATTTTTAGGGAAAATGATACAAATAGTCCCTGAATTTTGATTTAATGTGCAATGTAATCCCTCAACTTTTAATTTGGTCAATCTAGTCCTTAAATTTAAGCCCAATGTGCAATGTGGTTCCTGAACTTTTAATTTATTCAACGTCATCCTTGAAATTTTGGTACATGTTCAATTTAGTCCATGAAATTTATGAAAATATTCAATATAGTCCTTCCATTAATTCAAGGCTAGGGACTACAATGAACATTTTCATATAATTCAAGGACTACATTGAACATGTACCAAAAGTTTAAGGACCACATTAAACAAATTAAAAGTCCAGGAATCGCATTTAACATTAAGCTAAAGTTTAGGGACTACATTGAACAAATTAAAAATTCATGAATCAAATTGCACGTTTGACCAAAGTTCATGGACTTTTTGTGTCTTAATCCCTAATTTTTAATAAGCAAAGATTGGCCTGTCCATAAAATTTATTAGTATCACTATCACACAGTGTGACCAAAGTCACCTAGTCGAAATCCTTTTTAGAAGTTGCCGATTATGGCAAGGCTTCGGAAATATATCCTAGAGCAATTCCTAAGGTACGATAAAGCTATATTAATGTTATCTAATTAATTCGCTTTTTTATTAAATAGAGCCATCAAGACTTGACAGATAAAAGTGTACCATACGGTACAAGTATCCGATCTCCTAGTCCTTCGCTACTATTGGATGTGCAACCGCCTTTGTGGGAGAATCGAGCACCCAGAGGACCCTAAAAGGGTCGAGTTAAGGGCTAGGCAGTAATTTCAAAACCATTCTATATTTGATAATTACTTGAATACTTTTTCAATATTCACCAAGCACGGTTAATTCATCCTAAAAAAATTAAATTTTACTGGTCGCAGTAGATGAAAAGCTAACTATTTACAGCAGAAATCTACTCGTAGTGACTCTTCGTATGGAAATTCATCCTTGAATATCTCAACTCCTCTTTATCTAGTTACCATTTTAGTAGCTTTCCATATTGAAAAAATATTCAGAATCCAATACCGGTGCTGTACTGCCAGTTTCATGATCACTAGACACTCAGACAGGGAATTATCATCATCTTGTATCATAAAAAAATGGCAATGGCAAAGCCTCCATCACATTGATGACCACTGAACGAACAGCCTCGCCAAGACAATTTACAAACTTAAGCTAATAGATAGAGAGAGGACGTAACGTAAGTTTAAAGCTAACTCCAGTTGAACTAATCAACTACTCAAAATTGCATGCATCCCACTATTTCCTGGTCCAACATAACTGGTTCGCGACAGACATCAGATCAGCACCAGCTGCTACTCCGCACCGAATCATCTGTCAAGGGTTCCCAAAGATTCCCCTACCGTGAAAGTTACACCTTCTTGATGATCTGAACGACGTCTTCATCTTCAAGTTCATGCTCCTAATCCATGGAAAGCATCACCAAACATTTTAATTAGCCACAGCAACTAACTCCTTTTGAAATAAAAGGAAGGGAGAATGAAGTCAAAGATTCACGATTGAGTTGAGAAGTGAAGGTTCACCTTGCCAACTCTCTGAGGCTTGTGTTTGACACTTGAACCCCAGACTAGAGCGCTGCGTATTTAAGCAAAGTAAAAGCTCACATAAGCAGTAGCAAGAAGGCTGAGAAAATCAAATTGAATTTTATACCAAAATGAAGATAAATGTGGGAATCGTCAGAATTTGCACCTAATGAGTTCACATATCAACAAAAGGTTTAAGGATGAAGCTGAAGCCACGGTTTCTACTTACTACTTGAACTGTTTGACCATATCCTTGTGTATCCGGGTGCAGAAATCCTCAATTGTCCTCTTCCTTGATGATAGAATCACGGGGTCTTCATAGTCTGGATTCATTCCTTTTGGCTTTGTATATATACGAGTTAAATCCAAATACTCCCATATTTTCTCCAACAGACCATCAAGATTCCATTCAAGGTGAGCACTGCAATGTCAACCATGAAGCAGTATATGATCAGTTGAAAGAACAAACTAATTTACTATTGGGCAACCTATACACTGACATCAGACAACAGGAGGAAGGGACACACAGAATAACCAAAGAAATAGCTTACAACCATGCAAGTGATTACTATAATCTCCAAAAACTACCCATTCCAAACAAACTTGAACAACTAATCCTTGGTTGGTAAAGTATGAATTGAGGACAATAATCAAAAGTCAAAAAGGACCAGCATAAGAGAATATTTGAGCTACCTGACCGGACAGTAATGAGGAAGTTTGTCCAAAATTTCTAGCTCTTCTAGTGTGATTTGATCAATCTTGTTTATGACATAGATGCATGGAATATATTTCCTACTGCCCTCAATAACATCTATAAGGTCATCTGCAGTCGCATCACATCTAAGAGTGATATCAGCATTATGTATCCGATATTCACTGCAGATGGCCTTCACAGTTTCAAGATCCAGATGAGTGTTTGCCACTGTTGATGTGAAATTAATGCCACCTTTATCTTTCTTCCTGAACGTTAGATTAGGTGGCTCCTTGTTCAGCCTGCAAAGAAGAATAAAGAAAGTAGTTCTCATTTCTATTTATAAACACATAAAAGTCAAGACCGCAACAGCAAAAAAATCTGTGTGATCATCCACAGTTTTAAAAATATATGCACGGCGAATCACCTCTGCAGTAAAAAAAAATGCAGGATGTTCGAACCATATATTGAAGGACATAAATCAATTATTCATCTAAAATTAGCGAGAATGCTCCTGTAAATTTCAATTTGCAACACTGACATAACATAAAGCGTTTCAAAGCATAAGTTCAAACAATTCAGTTCTTATATCAGCATAAGGGCCAATATTCATGTGATTATGTCATCGTGCAAACCCCAAAAAATCCACAAAAAGTACATTCTTTTTAGACTGAACTCACTGACACCTGAATATGACATTATAGAATAAATCCCCACTTGTCAAACTATAAACTCAACCTCACCAGTGATGTAAGTTCCACCATTTTTCCTACTGAAACCAATTTCAAGTACAAGTAACCTTGATTGTCAATCTCCATACATAGGAAAATTTATTAACTCACACGATCTGGTCGTTCAACAAATATTCTTGAGAGGCATACCAGTTAGTCCACCAAATCACATAGATGTACTTACGATAGAAGCGGGACATAAATCATGTTAGTGTCTCATACACATGCTAATTGCCAAAGTATTAATGCATCTCGTGAAACGAGTTTTACTTGCCTTGCGGGAGGGGCAGGACGGGATGGCAAAAGTAGACCCCCTGCAGGCCAGGGAAGAGGAATGCAACCCCCGGCTCCGTCCCGCCCCTTGGACATCTCTAATTATAAAGACTATAAATGAGGGAGACTATTCACAGGAGAAGGAAGTACGCTTGGACATTGAGTACACCTAATAATCTTCATATGGCTACCATGATGGAGGAAGTACCTGTAGCTACTATACTAAAGAACAGGACATTTGCTTCTGTACCCTCCAAAGATGTGAAAGCTTCTAATTTTACTGTTACTTGTGTGGTTACTGTCAAGCACACAAATTTTAACCACATACATACCTGATTCCAAATCCCTCAAGCTCTTTCTCTATCAGACGCTTGTGAGTAATTGGCTTTATCGCATCAAGAACAATCAAAATGCAGTTGCATGTTCTGGCAGTGCTGATAACCTGGAAAGATGAAAGAGCAACTTGTAGTCAAAAACCTAGAAAAGGAATAATAACTAACAAATTAAATGCATTGCCAGCACAAGGAAGACATATTACCTGTCTGCCTCTACCCTTTCCATCCTTGGCACCCTCAATAATTCCAGGAAGATCTAGTAACTGCCAATTACAATAAAACACAAGTATTTAGTATTATGATAGACAATCTCTATGGGAAATCAAGATGATTTCACTGATTCTCAGAAAGGGGAATCTTAATGATCCATGGAAAGAAAATGAGTTAACATCAAAATGTGCATAACAGGTGACCTACATACAGAGAGCATCCATGGCTCATATACATTTTGCAACACCCCAAAACCGGGACTAGTGTTGTTTAATCAACTAATTTAAAGAACATTCACTACAAGGTAAAGTATTGCAATATCTTGAATCAATAAACCATGAAGAGAGATGCCTCCTGAAACACACCGCTATTATCTCATAGTTTTGGTTTTGCAATACCTTATTGTTGAGAAACTCCTAAATATGAAATGGAAAGAAGTTTACCTGAATTTTAGCTCCACGGTACGTGATCACTCCAGGGATACAAGTCAGAGTTGTAAATTCATATGAAGCAACCTTCAAGCCAAAAAGAGTAAAAAATCAGCAAGGATTTCACTGTAACTGCAAGCACCATTGGCTCTAGCAGAAGTTGTAGGGGAAAAACAACCACACTAAGGACAAAGTAACTATGATGTTGACAAAAATATTAACTCGGATGATAATCAAATCTATATAGAGACAACTCATTTAATGTTATCAACATAAGTCTTTACGCACAATCCCTTGAGTAGAGATAAACAATGAAACTGCAAAAGCTCACAGCTATAATGCTAAGTGTACGATTAAAATCATATTACGCATAGAAACAGTCATAAAGAAGACTAGAAAATATATAGGTGCATATTCCCCTAGCCCAAACACATAACAAAAGAATTATTCAGTGCAAGCCTACATGGTTTTAACATATTTTCTAGCAAATTGAGAGATAGCAATTAAGAATTTCAGCTTACAAAATGTTCTTATTCTGCTATCAGATCATTCCCATGATTCATAGCTTTGCTAGAGGCAATGATTTCGTCAAACTGGCAGAATTAAAATTGTAATCATCAAAAATGGAAATAAACCCTGATTCACAGCTTATTATGATAATGGTACAGGAAACTAAGGCCCAACAGTAGGATGATTGAACAAGTAACTCCACACTTCCTCTAGTTCTGACGAGTACGCTGCAAGCTCATAAGTAGTTTGACAATTTGCCAGATGAGATGTCATGCAAACGCAGACACACGCACCCACAGGATTAACCCTCCTCAGCCTCTTGAGCTTCACTTGCCCGCAAATGACTGTGCATGTCCGTGCGTGCACGCGCTTGTGTGTGTGTGTGTGTGTGTGAGAGAGAGAGAGAGAGAGAGGCAGAGGTTGGGGTAATGATCATGGAACATACAAGATGCAACTGCCAAAGAAACATCTAAAATAAAAAATGAAATATACATAACCAATTATTACAACTCCTTGCAAGCTGTTTCTTTGAATTTCAGATAGCATATTACAAACCCTGGTTCATTTTATTTGATCCTTTAGTTAAGTGTCCAAATATATGCAGAATCATCCCATTAAACTAGGAGGAAAGAATCGAGCCAACAACTCTACTTCTACTGTAAAACAGTCAACCAGAGATCAGCACCTCTAGATTCTTCGGAACATGTACCATTGTTATCTGTAGATCTTTCAACTACTGGGAGAAACTGGCACAAAAGCAATTAAAATGATTGTACAGAACTATCATTAATAGGTTATTATCTTTCCTCTTTGATCAGCACCTCTAGATTCTTGAACATGTACCATTGTTATCTGTAGATCTTTCAACTACTGGGAGAAACTGGCACAAAAGCAATTAAAATGATTGTACAGAACTATCATTAATAGGTTATTATCTTTCCTCTTTGATGACCACACGGAGTGCAACAATAGTGATAGACTTAACAAAATAGTAGATTATACATCAAGTGGAAACAAGGCAATAAAACCTTGACATACCTCTGAAAACGTCCCAGTCAGCTTATTCAACAGAGTAGACTTCCCAACTGAGGGGAAACCCACCAAACCAACTCTAGCATCTCCGCTTTTGGTGACATCGAAACCTTCACCAGCACCCCCGCCTCCCTTAGAAGAAGGTTCAAGGAGTTCCCTCCGTAGCTTTGCAAGTTTAGCCTGACAAGACATACTCTCAGAGTTAGCTGTCTCAAAAGATTTAATTACATAGGTACTTAAAGCAGTTTAAAAAAAATGCCCCACGAGACATATACTGTATTCCACAGGCTATCTTTTGGAAATATATTCTCAGAAATAATGCGCAGTATCAAGCAATCAAGGATCATATGCAATTTGAAAAAACAAGTGTACCTTAAGCAAACCCAAATGATGGGCAGTAGCCTTGTTCTTTTGAGTCCTAGCCATCTGCAGTACACAAAAAGCGTTATCCAAACTGTTAGTTGGTTCAAGCTATTCACATGAACGTCTTTTAACTACAAAGATTTACAGAGGACATCCTCTCAAAATATATCCATAATGATTACAGCTGCAGAATTTGTACACAATATCAACTAAAATCGTTGACTGTATAAATCCTTTTCAGTTCAGAAGCAGGTGAAAGTCACGGCACTATAGATCACACCATCTTCTCAGAAGCAATTCCAAGAAAGGTATCAAAACTCGTTACTCAATTGCATTTTTCAAATTAATCAACACATACCCAAGTAGAGGGAGAGAATTTGCAGCAGCACATAGAGTTTTGAGAAATCGTTCGCATTCAAGACTTTATACATAACAATTTCATAATTTAAACAGATCGTTTTTTTTTAATTAAGGACTTAGAAGTACTAAGTATTTAAATCTTTTTTCATTAATTCCTAGTATATAATGAACTGGAGATATATTAAGGAACAAATTATCAAGACCGAAATCAAATCAAATTACCCAAGTTACAGATTTTCTTCTTGCTGTAATGCTTTTTCTAAGTCACGGGTTTTTATAACGATGTAATAAATGTAATCAAATTTGATGAAATGGGTGACGACTGATAATTCTAAATCCTACTCCAACGAGTGAAAAAAGAACCCGAAGTGGCAACCTCTATGCAAGTACAAACTCAATATCAATCTTGTATCTACAAATGCTTAATACTAGACCACCAATGAAGAGTATCCAACCATCTATTCTGCCATTCTTCCTTCATTAATGCGATAGACTGTTTCACTATCGCGCAAAACAACACCTAGGAAGCCTTGCGTTTCAAACTCTACATACATAAGTTCCATTCCAACTTGTAGGGTAGACTTTGTGGACCAATAGAATGTATCAAACCAATCCCATTTATCCGAGACAATTGCTATGCAAATGACTCTAACATCTAAATCAGGGATTACTATGAGAGAGAAAGTAGCCACAAATTTTAGCATCCCTATTTAATCAGAACCAATCAAACCCAAAGGGGCTTCAGTTAAGAACCCTCCACAAAAAATTTTCAAACCTACAACCATCCCTAGCACGGAAAATAAAAGGTGAAGCTCGACAAAAATCGATAGGACTCTGATTTCATTGGTATTGATTTCATCTTACAGATAGGAAAAGATTTCCCTTCACACAGAACCAGCCCTATTACCAGATGGATTGCGCTAAAAGCACTGAAGGGCACAAACAACTAAGAAATCATCACTAAAAGAACTCATGGAAGCCTCACATCTACAAATTGCCATCCCTGTACAATGACAGGAAGGTTTCACGCTCTCGACCCGTTCCATTCTATATAATAGGAGACCCCACATATATCCACGAAACTCGTGCAGTACAAGCACGGATGATGACAATTTCTGCGTCAAAGCCTAGGAGCCATGGTAAATCAAGGATCTTTATCAAACAACATCCGCAAATCCAACCCACAAGGGCAAAAGAACAAGAAAGCATCCGACAAACAAAAAAGGCGATTCATAGCCAAGTAAGTGCGGAGGCCTAAATCGCACAATCAAGCAACATTTGTTCACACAACCACCACAACTAGCCGCGATTTCCGAGACACGGAAACCCCATTCGTATCAATCGGCAATCATCTCCATCAACTGGAAACCGTACGGACAACCATTACCGAGACCTGAAAGTTCTCGAACCACAAAAAAAAAGCACAAAAAAAAAACAAGAACAGAAAACCGGTTCGATGGCAGCTGCGATTGAGCGGGCGATGTAATGAAAGCACCTCATCTTCGATGTCCTTGATTTTCTGCATCACAGTCGCCATTGTTAGAGATGAAGTTATCGGTCAGACGGACGGAGCTCGAGCTATTGGCGGCAGCGCACCGACGACCTCGATGTTCAAGAAGAAGAAGAAGAAGACGGAGCAGAGTGTTGAACGCAGAGGGAGGGAAGAGAGGGGTTTTGCGTCATTGCACGAGGTCTTGATGGGCTTTTCTGATGGGCCTAACCATCCTCTTCGCGTAAGGCCCATCATTAAGCTTACAAGGACGATCCTTTCTACGGTCTGGGCCGTGTCCCGGCCCACCCGAACTCAAGGAAATGCAACGATATGGGCTCAACCACGGATACAAACACAACAAAAGTCGACCCAAGCGATAAAATTTGGAAAAATTAGGTTTCCTTTGTTCCGTGAAAAACGAATATTTTTGGAAAATGTTTTTCCTAGACACGATCACTTAAATTGGTTATGGATATTGAGTGAATAAAAAATATTTTCATCGTCTACGAAAATATTTTTCGGGAAAATGTTTTTCCAAATTATTTATTTTCCGCGAAACAAACGGAGTCAGTGGATACACCGTTAGAGTAAAAAATATTCTACACCATACATCATTTATTCGACCTTGATTTAAGGATTATATGAATCTACGCACTCTTTTTAGATAGAGGATACACGAGGATTGCTTATTGTGAGATTTTTTTTTTTACACCGGCATTATATGCTGTAATGACTAGTAACATTGCAGGCTCTAGACTAAAAAATATTTGTTATAGCGATTTCTCGTGCTTGTTTCACACGAAGGCGTATATAAAGGGCAAAAGGGAAATGGCTTTTGAAGAACGGTCTCTTTCACAGTTCGTGGGCATGCCATTTCACCACCGTGCCGCCAAAATTCCTCTCTTGCGGCCGGGCAGATGCCAACCTCCTTTTGGTCTTGTCGACGATGTACACACTAATCGTATCTAATAAATAAATATTTCAATTTTCAACGTATCGATTATAGGGTTAATTTTTTTTAAAAAGCACCAAATTTAGGTCAAGGGACAATTTTGGCCCGAACTTTTTTTTGTTCCATAAAAAAGCATCAACTTTAGGTCGAGGGACAATTATGGCCCGAAATTTTTTTTGTCCCGTAAAAAAGCACCAATTTTAGGTCGAGGGACAATTCTGGCCCGAACCTTTTTTTGTCTCGTAAAAAAGTACCAACTTTCATTTAAATCCTAAATTTGGCCCCTCATTGACTTTCTGTCTGAAGTTACCCTTGTTTGAGAAAAAAAGTTACGGTGGTGAGCCTGACGAATCTCTTCCATGACGTCTATCGACGGACGGTGGTCTACAGCTTCAGATTACGACAAAACGACGAAGTTTGGCCAGAAAGATTCAATCTGGAGATATTTTTGACTTGCCGATGAAGTGAAAGAAACGAACATTTTCACCGTTATTCTTCAAGCTGTGGTTCAGAGAATAAGACAATGAATAATGCTTTAAATCCAGTCCACAAGTCACGTGGATTTTATTGCTAAGGTGAAATAGTCAAGTTGAAAAATCAATGGTTTTAAGTCAATAAGGGCCATATTTGGGATTTAAGCGAAAGTTGGTGCTTTTTTACGAGACAAAAAAAGGTTCGGGCCAGAATTGTCCCTCGACCTAAAATTGGTACTTTTTTATGGGACAAAAACAAGTTCGGGCCATAAGTTGGTGCTTTTTTATGAAAAAAAAAAAGTTTGGATCAGAATTATCCCTCGATTTAAAGTTGATATTTTTTTTTTTGAATTAACCCATCGATTACATGTAACATGAAAGAATTTGAATATGGTGCGTTCTATTTATTTTAATGTTCGGCAGGTGCTGTGAAGGTACTTGTTGACAAAATCCGTCTCGTTATGGGTTGAATCAAATTAATAAAAAAATAAAAACAAAAGAACATCTTAGTAGGTTACCGCATGTTAATTTAGGAAAACGACAAGAGGAAACATCGTCATCTGGGCCCACGTGCTCACCTGAGCCCCCTGTCCGTGCGATGTCTGCATGTCAAGAGCTAGCCACGAATCCCAATAACAAATATATATTTGTTATTGGGATTCGTGGCATATATATATATATATATATATACACACAAATATATGCACACACATATATACTCTCACATTAATCCCTATATATGTACAAATATGGCGCACACACATATACTCTCACATTAATGCAGACGCAAGCCTTCACATAAGTTGTAGACACATGAAAACAAAAAAGAAATGATTGGATGACAGTCTTTAGTCTTTACTCTACTATAAAAATAACACTCTATTATGGATCACAAATAAATAAATAATAAATTATTATGAAATTTACTTCTTCAAAAATTTATAACTCACAATATATTGTTACTCTCATAATGACCAAAAAATTGTTTTGCTAGCAAAGTCCAAAATAGAATTGCTTCATTTGGCAATTGATATGTGCCTCTCATTAAAACATGAAATAGATCACAAAATATTAACTATGTCATTGTAGGGAAAAAGTTGGATTCTTATTTCATATCTTTCAAGATCCATCGTACTACATGGGGTCGTTCGGCAGCATATCAAGAAATTTCGACGATTTTTGTGAGTACGATCGATGTTTGGTGAACAAATCACTTCCGGGATATATTTAAGCTGTCTCCAATAATTCAATCTCTTTTCGTGAAAACACATGAGGAATGAAATGTAAGGAAATCAACGTTTGCACCAAATCCAAATTTTTGGTAAACAAAAGGAATATTTACACTCCGTTAGATAAATGATGTAGAAAACATTTTCCTAAGAATGATCGCTTGAATTGCTTATAAAAATGAATAAACAACAATATTTCCATCGTTCGCCAAAATATTTAGGCATAAATTGCTATCGATAACGAAAATGGTTTTCATGGAATAATTTTTTCAAGAGATATAAGCGATCATTTTCAGAAAAGAATATCTTCCATAGCATTTATTTTTCGCGAAACAAATAGTGCCCGAGTCTTCTGGAGACAATCATAGTTAATCATAAGGTCATTTGATACTCACGGTGTCAACCAATCATGCTTGTCCTTTCCTTTTATTGCAATGTTTTTCCACATCTTGCTGGTCCAGAAGAAGGGAGATCCTGTTTTGGTCCTCAAGCCGCGTCCTGCTAAGCAGCTGCAGCTATTTGCCTTGCGAGGACGGATGGTCGAGCGGGCGGGAGATGTTCATAACTTCATATGAAGAAACCCTAGTGCCGAGAAGGGAAGCAGCCCCCGATCCCAACTCAGCACCACCCGGTGGCCATCCCTATGGACGGAGAACAAAGAGCCGGATAGTTCATCTCCTATTGCTTAATCGGAAAAGTATGTACATGGCCATGAAATGGATACTAAGAGAGATGATGTTGATAGCGTCCATTATTTCAACTAATGTATCACTCTTTTGAAATCTCATATGTACGAAGCCACATAAATAGGTCACGACTTCAATATGTGCCTCCTATCCCTTAAGGTTGATGTAATTGATTATCGCGTCACAAGATTTTTAGCCCCACGAATTATATGTGCCCTTTTCGAATCCCGCCAAAATTGCACAAAAACTACTTTGTGTGAAGCGCTTCGACCGGTTCACGAGATTTGCGGGGATTTATGGGCCATCAAGCGATCGAATTTGTGCGTTCACATCTACTGGTTATTGAAAAAAAGTCAATACATGAAAATTCTTCTAGCGCACGCAAAGTATATATGATTAAATGACTCATGAGAAGTGAAATGGAGAGGTCCGCACCAAGGAGATGATCGGTTGACGGTGGAGTCAACTTGGACATGATGAACCATGCTCATGGTTGCAGATAAAAACAAAAGGATGGATGATGGGACGTAACTCGCGACAGGAACCTGAGGGAGGCACTCGCGACAGCAACTTGAGGGAGGTACAGTGAATAATTGCCATTTTCACGTGGTTTTGCTCTCCTCTTCGAACTCCGGGCTCTCCTCCTCCATTTCCATGCACTCGCATCTGACACAAAGGCGACATAACAACGACCCCACAGAGCAAAGGCCTTCGCCCGGTACAGGTACACTATATAGTACACAAACCCACTGTGTTGGAAAAACAAACCATTTTTCACGCGGATAGAATCGAGACCAAACCGGGAATTTGACGATTCGTAGATTCCGTGCTCCAGGTCACGATGTTCTTTTCACTGTGCTATGTGTAATGCGAGCAGGAGAAGAACAGCAAATTACGTGATTCGATTGATGTGATTTGCAACTATGGACTGTATCGGGGATTGAATATGTCAATGATGCGAACACTGACAACCTCATCCGAGCTAGCGATTAGAGCAGACAGCATCGCATTGGCCGAGGGCTCGACTTTGGGTTGCCTTTGACTCGCTATTATTTAGAGCCGAAATGGACTCGTTGCTTGCTAGATGTGTCTTCGATGGCACATTGCTCGACTTTTGGTTATTGCTCTAGCAAGAGATAAGTTCCATACAAACTCAAATTATAGCATGATGCCTTTGGATGCATGTGAGCTACCCACGACTACAGGTTGGAGAAAATCTTTAGGAAAATACAAAGGAAATAATGTTTGGTAAATTGTCATTTGAAAATGCATTGAAAGCAATTTTGATTTAAATAGCGTTTGGAAAACCACACTTTTATAAAAAAAAAAAGTGTACTGATTTAAAAAAAAAAATCTCAAAACTAGCAAAGGGTTCAATGGCTAGCGAGGCCAAATCTGGCATTGGTAGCCTCAGCGAAGCGACGTAAGGTCGCGCGACCCACGGCAATAGTCCACCTTACCTAAGGTCAATCTGGCTTGCTGCAACTAGATCTAGCTTCGCCGGTGGCCCCTGGTTGTTGAGCCCTGGTGATGTATCACGGGCTGACACTTGAGATTGCGAACCATGGGGCAATTAGGCTCTTGCTTGGATGCCTAAGCTCAACCTTCGCTCAACTCGCTAACTAGCTCACTCGGAATGTAGAGAGAGAAGCTTTGAGAGAAAATGCACTTTGATTGTTCAAATGTTGGATGATACAAATGAGGGATATCCTATATATATAATAGCTCGTCTAACTACAACTGTTAATCTTACCTCTAATCTAATGGTAGAGATCTATTTTCACGAGTTAATCCCACCTA